GCTTGCTCTATGAAGTGCGCATGTGCAATAACTCAATTCGCTTCTGCACTTCTTCTAAACAACGCCATTTAAAAAAACTTTTGTCAAGGGTAAAGTCTACAAAACTTAGTCTACTCTGTTCATAACATATTTTAGTTTTGGGAACAAAAAACTGTACTGAAATCAAATGTTTAATTGATGAGAACATTTGCAGAATGTCAGCCAAAATCCATCTCGTTCCATATTTGGTAGTGAGTGGAAACGCCAAGCGGATGCTTCACATTTATACATCCGGTGAAATATCTGTCTCATTGTTCTATTTGTGTCCAAACTCTGACTTGTCATGGTGTCTCTATGACAACAGGGCGTGTCTGACACTAAACAGAAATCATGTTCTGTATCTGTTATGTTCTGTCAACATTTTTCCCACCCTTCTGAGTATGGCCCATGACACACACACACACACACGTGTGCGAATACGCGTACAAACACCCATGTGTACATACACACACGTACACACACACACGCGGGCATACACACACGCACGCGTACACACACACGCACAAATATGCACACATACAGTTTGCAGATATACACACAAACATACACTATGGTTTAAGTTACAGACTGCCTATATACTCTAGAAATATGTATCACTTTGGGTCGTTTTAATGCTTTCTCTCAGATAGTATGTACTCTAGCTGTTCTTGTACAGTTGATTTGATGTTAGTATGAGGCAACGAGAGCTCAGCCTGTCGCTTAGACAGCCAGCGAAAGTTTGCACCCACCCCACAAAACCCCCAAACACTTTCACGCTCTTAAAAACGTTTGCTGAATCTATTTACTCTCTGAGTTGCAATTTGGTGACGTAAGTGTGTGTGACAGTTAAAGTGAGCCTGTGGAATGTATCAGCACCTCTGCATTTCTCCCAACCCTGGTCCTGGAAAGCTACAATAAGGATGGTATTATGTTGCAGTTTCAGCTTTCTTCCTTGACTACACATTCCAAATCACTCTGTATACAAGAGTCTGCTAAATGGCTTAAATGTAACTGTATCATAAAATACATCTGCAGAGCGACCCAGGCCAGGCATGGATGGCCAAAACTGAACATAAGATACATGATCATCTATAATCTCTCATTTCTGCTATAACAGCTAACAGAGCATGTCCTCAGTCCACCTCTACTGTACCACAGTCTAGAATGTTCTGTCTACACCATACTGGATACATATGCTTTCTCTCTCACACACACACACACACACACACACACACACACACACACACACACACACACACACACACACACACACACACACACACACACACACATTGAAGTAGCAGGAATTAATGAGGCTATTAGACTAGATCCTCTTCATCCACCTATGTGTCTGCCCACCCTCCCCCCAAACACATAATATGTTAGGCCTAATATGTTCTTCCACACTGTAATAAATTGAACCTGCTAGACTATGATGATATGGGTCGTGTATGTATTCATATCTGCATGCATGTGTGTGGTAGATTAATTCTGTGGACAGTGGTGTGAAGTCACAGTTTGCAGTGAGATCACCACTGCCCCCCCACCTCTCCCACTCCATGTTTTGGATGTTTGATGGATCTATTTCCATATCGCAGACATTGAGAGCCAAGAAAGAAATAAGGATGTGGAGCTTGGTCTATTTGGCACGTCTGGCTCCCATTGCCATGGAAACGAGCCGTGTTAGAATCGCGTGTTAGAATCGCCAGCCGCCTGAGAGAAGGTCAAGGGTCAACTCAGTTGTCATCCATCATCAAGCTAGTGTATAGAGCTGGGGTATAGAGCTGGGGTATAGAGCTAGTGTATAGAGCTGGGTATAGAGCTGGGGTATAGAGCTAGTGTATAGAGCTGGGGTATAGAGCTGGGGTATAGAGCTGGGGTATAGAGCTAGTGTATAGAGCTGGGGTATAGAGCTGGGGTATAGAGCTGGGGTATAGAGCTGGGGTATAGAGCTAGTGTATAGTGCTGGGGTATAGAGCTGGGGTATAGAGCTGGGGTATAGAGCTGGGGTATAGAGATAGGGTATAGAGCTAGTGTATAGAGCTGGGGTATAGAGCTGGGGTATAGAGCTGGGGTATAGAGCTAGGGTATAGAGCTGGGGTATAGAGCTAGTGTATAGAGCTGGGGTATAGAGCTGGGGTATAGAGCTGGGGTATAGAGCTAGTGTATAGAGCTGGGGTATAGAGCTGGGGTATAGAGCTGGGGTATAGAGCTAGTGTATAGAGCTGGGGTATAGAACTGGGGTATAGAGCTAGTGTATAGAGCTGGGTATAGAGCTGGGGTATAGAGCTAGTGTATAGAGCTGGGGTATAGAGCTGGGGTATAGAGCTGGGGTATAGAGCTGGGGTATAGAGCTGGGGTATAGAGCTAGGGTATAGAGCTGGGGTATAGAGCTAGTGTATAGAGCTGGGGTATAGAGCTGGGGTATAGAGCTGGGGTATAGAGCTAGTGTATAGAGCTGGGGTATAGAGCTGGGGTATAGAGCTGGGGTATAGAGCTAGTGTATAGAGCTGGGGTATAGAACTGGGGTATAGAGCTAGTGTATAGAGCTGGGGTATAGAGCTGGGGTATAGAGCTAGTGTATAGAGCTGGGTATAGAGCTGGGGTATAGAACTGGGGTATAGAGCTAGTGTATAGAGCTGGGGTATAGAGCTGGGGTATAGAGCTGGGGTATAGAGCTAGTGTATAGAGCTGGGGTATAGAGCTAGTGTATAGAGCTTGGGTATACAGCTAGTGTATAGAGCTGGGGTATAGAGCTGGGTATAGAGCTGGTGTATAGAACTGGGGTATAGAGCTAGTGTATAGAGCTGGGGTATAGAGCTGGGGTATAGAGCTGGGGTATAGAGCTGGGGTGTAGAGCTGGGGTATAGAGCTGGGGTATAGAGCTAGTGTATAGAGCTGGGGTATAGAGCTGGGGTATAGAGCTGGGGTATAGAGCTGGGGTATAGAGCTAGTGTATAGAGCTAGTGTATAGAGCTGGGGTATAGAGCTGGGGTATAGAGCTGGGGTATAGAGCTGGGGTATAGAGCTGGGGTATAGAGCTAGGGTATAGAGCTGGGGTATAGAGCTAGTGTATAGAGCTGGGGTATAGAGCTGGGGTATAGAGCTGGGGTATAGAGCTAGTGTATAGAGCTGGGGTATAGAGCTGGGGTATAGAGCTGGGGTATAGAGCTAGTGTATAGAGCTGGGGTATAGAACTGGGGTATAGAGCTAGTGTATAGAGCTGGGGTATAGAGCTGGGGTATAGAGCTAGTGTATAGAGCTGGGTATAGAGCTGGGGTATAGAACTGGGGTATAGAGCTAGTGTATAGAGCTGGGGTATAGAGCTGGGGTATAGAGCTGGGGTATAGAGCTACTGTATAGAGCTGGGGTATAGAGCTAGTGTATAGAGCTTGGGTATACAGCTAGTGTATAGAGCTGGGGTATAGAGCTGGGTATAGAGCTGGTGTATAGAACTGGGGTATAGAGCTAGTGTATAGAGCTGGGGTATAGAGCTGGGGTATAGAGCTGGGGTATAGAGCTGGGGTATAGAGCTGGGGTATAGAGCTGGGGTATAGAGCTAGTGTGTAGAGCTGGGGTATAGAGCTGGGGTATAGAGCTGGGGTATAGAGCTGGGGTATAGAGCTAGTGTATAGAGCTGGGGTATAGAGCTAGTGTATAGAGCTGGGGTATAGAGCTAGTGTATAGAGCTGGGGTATAGAGCTGGGGTATAGAGCTGGGGTATAGAGCTAGTGTATAGAGCTGGGGTATAGAGCTGGGTCTGGTGTAGGGCTAGGTCTGGGCCTGAGGCTGAGGCTGGGGCTGAGTAATGGTTGTGGGGGAAAGGGGCTGCAACTGGAACTGGGAGAGAGGAGATGGGATATGGGTATAGGTCACAGGCGGCTGGTGGCACCTTAATTGGGGAGGAGGGGTCATAGTAATAGCAGGAATAGAATAAATGGAATGGTATCAAATACATCACACACATGGTTTCCATGTGTTCAATACCATTACATTTACTCCATTCCAGACATTATTATGAGCCATCCACCCCCTCCAGCCTCCTGAGGCATAGGTATATGGCTGGAGCTGGGGCTAGGGCTTGGAGTGGGGCTGGTGTTGGTGTATAGAGGCATGGGGCTAGAACCCACAATCTCTTAGTTAATACTATATACCAGTTCACTCTTAGAAAAAAAGGTGCTATCTAGAACCTAAAAGGGTTCTTCGGCTGTCCCAATAGGAGAACCCTTTGAAGAACCCTTTCTGGTTCCAGGTAGAACCATTTTGGGTTCCATGTAGAACCCTTTCCAGAAAGGGTTCGACATGGAACCAAAAAGGGTTTTACCTGGAACCAAAAAGGGTTCTCCTATGGGGACAGCCGAAGAACGCTTTTGGAAGCCTTTTTTCTTAGAGTGTTGAAATAGGAGTGCAAAATAAAGCATTACCACCTCTCCCAGAACCAGTCGGCCTGACCCAAACCCAACCACAGAGTGGAATCCCGTACCTCTGGCCCAACTAGACAGGATCAGGACTGCCTTTGTTTAAAGCTCAAATAGAAACAGACAGAGAAACACACACAGAGTCCTACCCTAGCCGCATCAGAGGACCACAATGGAAATAAGTCCCAGACTTTATTGCATGTTATCCTCTATGATTTTACTCATGTGCATGTATGGCTTTTTCAAGTTTTATGTGTGCTTTAATGGTCGAATTAATAAACTAAACTAAGTCAAAGAAAACCCAAACATCTGTCTGTGTTACTGACCTTAAGAGGGGAACACAGTATAAGACTAGAAGACTTGTCTGGAGGACAGACTCATTGGACCACTCTTCTGTCTGTTGGACCAGAGCTCTGCTTGCTGGACGGCACTTCTGGGTCCTGGATGTGAGTGAAAATGAGAAGGAAAAAAACACACACAGACGCATTCTTGTTCCTCTCATGTACACACATCAGCCTCAAACAGATACCTGTAGGAAAGAAAGCAACTCAAGATCAGAGAGTGATGGGGTCGGAGGTTGTGGGCACGGAAGTGTTCCTATTTCCACTTAGCTTTGAGGTGAGAAAAATACCTCTCACTGCTGTAAAATGACCAATGAGTGACACGCAGTACACAACCTGATACATGCTAACACACACACTCCTTCATCAATGCACCACACACACAAACACACGGATCAGGTGGACACTCTTTTTGGTGGACTTCTAGGGTCACACTCACTGCTGTAAAAAGTCTGGGAATTGTTGGACTTCCCTGAGGAAGAATAGTCCAACATTTCCCATGTAGCCTGTCCCTATCCGTGTTGACTCCTGTTTACCATGTCACCATTGCAGCACAACCTCGGAGGACCTAAAAGGACCTATGTTAGCTTAGGAGTTTTTCCCAACCATGTGAACTGACCAGGGATATCCCTTCCGAGTTGCCTTATCAAGTCATTCAATACTTTGAAGTACTAGCCTAGCTATTGTAAAATGGTATGTAAATAAATGAAGCTGCTGCGGTTCAAAGGCTTGGCAGGAAACCTACTGTAAACCCCAGAGAACCTCAGAAAGCAGCAATTACACTGCTCAAAAAAATAAAGGGAACACTAAAATAACACATCCTAGATCTGAATGAATGAACTAATCTTATTAAATACTTTTTTCTTTACATAGTTAAATGTGCTGACAACAAAATCACACAAAAATTATCAATGGAAATCAAATGTGTCAACCCATGGAGGTCTGGATTTGGAGTCACACTCAAAATTAAAGTGGAAAACCACACTACAGGCTGATCCAACTTTGATGTAATGTCCTTAAAACAAGTCAAAATGAGGCTCAGTAGTGTGTGTGGCCTCCACGTGCCTGTATGACCTCCCTACAATGCCTGGGCATGCTCCTGATGAGGTGGCGGATGGTCTCCTGAGGGATCTCCTCCCAGACCTGGACTAAAGCATCCGCCAACTCCTGCACAGTCTGTGGTGCAACGTGGCGTTGGTGGATGGAGCGAGACATGATGTCCCAGATGTGCTCAATTGGATTCAGGTCTGGGGAATGGGCAGGCCAGTCCATAGCATCAATGCCTTCCTCTTGCAGGAACTGCTGACACACTCCAGCCACATGAGGTCTAGCATTGTCTTGCATTAGGAGGAACCCAGGGCCAACCGCACCAGCATATGGTCTCACAAGGGGTCTGAGGATCTCATCTCGGTACCTAATGGCAGTCAGGCTACCTCTGGCGAGCACATAGAGGGCTGTGCGGCCCCCCAAAGAAATGCCACCCCACACCATGACTGACCCACCGCCAAACCGGTCATGCTGGAGGATGTTGCAGGCAGCAGAACGTTCTCCACGGCATCTCCAGACTCTGTCACGTCTGTCACATGTGCTCAGTGTGAACCTGCTTTCATCTGTGAAGAGCACAGGGCGCCAGTGGCGAATTTGCCAATCTTGGTGTTCTCTGGCAAATGCCAAACGTCCTGCACGGTGTTCGGCTGTAAGCACAACCCCCACCTGTGGACATTGGGCCCTCATACCACCCTCATGGAGTCTGTTTCTGACCGTTTGAGCAGACACATGCACATTTGTGGCCTGCTGGAGGTCATTTTGCAGGGCTCTGGCAGTGCTCCTCCTGCTCCTCCTTGCACAAAGGCGGAGGTAGCGGTCCTGCTGCTGGGTTGTTACCCTCCTACGGCCTCCTCCACGTCTCCTGATGTACTGGCCTGTCTCCTGGTAGCGCCTCCATGCTCTGGACACTACGCTGACAGACACAGCAAACCTTCTTGCCACAGCTCGCATTGATGTGCCATCCTGGATGAGCTGCACTACCTGAGCCACTTGTGTGGGTTGTAGACTCCGTCTCATGCTACCACTAGAGTGAAAGCACCGCCAGCATTCAAAAGTGACCAAAACATCAGCCAGGAAGCATAGGAACTGAAAAGTGGTCTGTGGTCACCACCTGCAGAACCACTCCTTTATTGGGGGTGTCTTGCTAATTGCCTATAATTTCCACCTGTTGTCTATTCCATTTGCACAACAGCATGTGAAATGTATTGTCAATCAGTGTTGCTTCCTAAGTGGACAGTTTGATTTCACAGAAGTGTGATTGACTTGGAGTTACATTGTGTTGTTTAAGTGTTCCCTATATTTTTTTGAGCAGTGTATTTTGTATTTCTCTTCAGAAAGTATGAACTCACCCCATCAAGTAGGTGGCGGCATGCACCTCTAACGTTGTTTGCGGACCGCCATAATACCATAGAAGAAGAAGAAGAAGAAGAAGAAGAAGAAGAAGAAGAAGAAGAAGAAGAAGAAGAAGAAGAAGAAGAAGAAGAAGAAGAAGAAGAAGAAGAAGAAGAAGAAGAAGAAGAAGAAGAAGAAGAAGAAGAAGAAGAAGAAGAAGAAGACACGTAGGGCACCAGATGCAACTGCCATTTTTCGGGTGGGGAGAGAGGGAGAGAGGGAGAGAGGGAGGAGGAAGAAAAGGCTTGGCTTGAAGCGCTGGGCATCTTGTGATGACATTCATTATCTGAATTAGGCCCACAGAATTATACCTATGGAGGAGAGGCTTCTATGGAGGAACTTTGAATGTCTTTGAACTTCAGAGTTGGCTTAATGTTGGACCAGAGAAGCTAACTTGCTAACAAGCTTGTGTGTGCGGAGCGGAGCGGAACCAGAATTAAAAACACGTCTTACCTTTTTGTAGATAATAAATCCAATGTGAAATGTAATAACTATAGTATCCCTAACTAGCATTTAAAAGTTAATCCATTCTTCTCTAATTAAAAATCTCTCTCCCTATCTTCTTAATCACGCTTGTAATGTCAGTAGGCTATAGCTATGCTTTGGAGGGGGAGGGGCAGGTAGCCTACACACACACACACTGGCAAAGATTTTCAGGTGTCAGGCAGACACTGGAAGAAATTCTGATTGACAGAGGGAGGGCTTTGCATAGGCACTTTGTTGCGTTTTTTTGTGGGACTGGAGAAAAAAAATCCTGAACGTAAAATAACATTATTAACCGGTTCCCATGCCTTTAAAATAATGGTTCTGTTATTTTAAAAGCATGTTTTTTTTTTTATAGAAACAGATCTTGCCTCTCTCTAGTCAGCAGGAAGCAGATTGTGCAGTCAACCTTTCTACCTGTTGTTGATTATGGTGATACTATTTATCAAAGTGCAGCTGCTACTACTCTTAAACCCCTGGAGGCCGTTTATCATAGCGCCCTTCGCTTTATCACAGGAGACAGTTTTATTACTATACACTGCATTCTTTACCAAAAGGTTGGCTGGACCTCTTTAAAGTTAAGTAGATCACATCATTACGCTCTTTTTGTTTACAAAGCCCTGCTCCACAAGCTTCTGACTTACCTAATGCCACTGTTAGATAAAAAAAAAGTTAACAGGGTTGGCTAACTTTGGAGACTTCTTTTGTGTCTACAGAGTTAGGTAAATCGGCCTTTAATCTCCAAAATACCTTTCGATTGTATGCTTTGAAGTCCTTAGGGCAATTCAGACAGCTGACAGAGGATTTTTATAATGAAAAATGTGTTTGTTTTAATTGACTTAATGTGTATTTAATGTGTATATTGTCTATATTTATGTTTATATATACTTGCCTGTTGTATGTGCTTGTTTTTGTATTGTGCGGGGCTCATTTGTGAAAGAGACTTTGGTCTCAATATGACTTCCCTGTTGAAGTAAAGGTAAATAGTTCCGTAACAGTATAGATCACTTTCGTTCCATGTTCTGATTATTTTCCTTGAAAATGTTTGTTATTTTCCAGTTTTCTGTTCTGTTCCCTGAACCGGTTCCAACCCCTGGTGTGTGCACAGTGGGCGCTGCAACCTGGACTCAGGGTGGACGTAACACAGTAAACGTAATTCTGGGATACTCCAAATAGTATGCTATGTTACGCTTTGTATGCTATGTATTAATTTGTGGATGTCCATCATCCATTTCGTATGATTTGTTACAAATTTACAAAACGTATGATACTGTATGTTACGAATTCCAATTTGTTGTGGCTAACGTTAGCTAGGTGGCTAACATTAGCTAGGTGGTTAACGTTAGCTAGGGTAGGGGTTAGGGTTAGGAGTTAGGTTAGCTAACAAGCTAAGTAGTTGCAAAGTTGCTAATTATCTAAAGTTGTTAGTGATGAGATTTGAACACGCAACCTTTGGGTTGCTAGACATTCGCATTATACGCCCAACCATCCAACCACACTACTTTCGGTTTTGCCTTAAGTAGCCTTCTGTCTTACGTAACCATAACAAACGTAACCTATCATAAACATTTTAGTTCCCCAGATTTACATTTACTATTTTACGTCTAGTCTATGAGACCAAGCTGGGCAATTACTTCACACTGGAAGAAGTTTAGCTACACTAAAGCTACCCTTAAGAAATATATAGTTTACTTAAAGCTGCAATACCTAACTTTTTGGGTGACCTGACCAAATTCACATAGAAATGTGAGATAGATCTGTCGTTATAGATCTGTCGTTCTTATTGAAAGTAAGTCTAAGAAGAGGTATATCTGTTCTATGTACGCTATTTCTATGCTTCCCGTTCTTTTACTTTTGATTTTGTACACCAGCTTCAAACAGCTGATAATACATATTTTTGATTATTGAAAATATATTTCACAGCGGTTTAGATGGTACAATGATTCTCTACACTATACTTGCTTGTTTTGTCACATAAACTGAAATTAGGCACACTATAAAACATTTAGCAACAAGGAAATGGCGGAACGATTTCTGCATATTGCACCTTTAACTAAAGTTACTTTGAAAAAGTAGTTCAGTACATCCAAACTACTTCGGAAAAATTATAATATGTAGGCCTAAATCTGAAATAGCTATTTGCACGGGACTAGTATTACTAGAGAACGTGGTCATGTAATTTTTACAGCAGAATGTCTGTTGTTCCAGAGGACGATTCGGACGGTGTGTTTTTTCAAAACTGCCCCCTGTAATTATAAATTTTTTGACAATTATGAAGGAAGCCTACAGGTTTTTATTTTAGGTGTGAAGATATTTCAACATATCCAAGTGATAACAGGCTACACTAATAACTCGAGCTTGGCTCCCAAGTTTCTAAACCATACCAAACCATCTTTAGTATAATGTTGCCATAATAAAGTGTGATCATAATCATTAGGGTATTTTAGCGATCCACAGTAGAAGACGTTCTAATTGCCCCGCAGCCTGCAGATGTGAGCTAAACAGCGCACTTGCGATGCGTTTTTAGGCTATGGATGAGAAAGTGAACTCCAAAAGTTTAGCTCAGTTGTAATGCTGCTTTGCGATCTATTAACAGCAAGCGTTGCATCAAATAGGCGCAATGTTTTTTTACTGAAGCATTTGGCGATGTTCAATTCATCGGCACAAAACGTATAAACAAAAGCATTCACTGTGAAAGTTGATACATGTAGGTCCTTCATATGTACAAATCATTAAGACCTTCCTAATATAGAGTTGCACTCCCCACCCCCTTCCACTTTTGCCCTCAGAACAGCCTCAATTCGTCTGGGCATGGAGTCTACAAGGTGTCGAAAGTGTTCTACAGGGATGCTGGCCCATGTTGACTCCAATGCTTCCCACAGTTGTGCCAAGTTGGCCGGATATCCTTTGGGTGGTGGACCATTCCTGATACACTCAGGAAACTGTTGAGCATGAAAAACCCAGCAGCATTGCAGTTCTTGACAAAACCGGTGCACCTGGCACCTACTACCATACCCTGTTCAAAGGCTCTTATAGTCAATCTTTTGTCTTGCCCATTCATGAATGGCACACATACACAATCCATGTCTAAATTGTCTCAAGGCTTAAAAATCCTTCTTTAACTTGTCTCCTTCCCTTCATTTACACTGATTGAAGTGGATTTAACAAGTGGCATCAATAAGGGATCATAGCTTTCACCTGGATTCACCTGGTCAGTCTATGTCATGGAAAGAGCAGGTGTTGTTAATGTTTTGTACACTAGCGTGGAACCCCATATTATCGGCATATTCAACAGCGTTTAAGAAATATATTACCTTCAACAGTGTTATCTTGTGATCAAGCCATCAATGTTATGTGATTATTGGTGTCGTAAAGATGTTAGCTAACGGGTTAGCAATTAGCAAGTTTGACATTTCAGTGGAAATACTACTATTATCAGTTTTTTGATAAGCGGTTTAGCAAAAAAATACGTCCCGTATTATCGGCATACGGCCCCCAGTTATTGGCCACCTTACTATTTTGTTCAATTACAAGATATATCCGTTTGTTCAAAAAAGAGACACCAACCACGTACCCGAAGTGTTTACTAGATAGTTGACTAGTTGGCTAGCCTTCCGGTAAAAAATAATGACTTGCCTATCAACTTTTCATTGCGTAGTCCGGTGCGCCCTCCTGTGGACTCTTAAAAAATGGTTATTTACCAACCAGTGTTGTAACCAAATAATGTCTCATCATTTGTTTTACAGATTAATCTTATGTTTTGAGAAAGTAGATAACAGTTGAATACTAAAATATGAGTATTAATAATTTACATCAAATAAAACTTTAATTTCAGTAATGTGCATTGACATAAACAATGAAAACACTGTTGGAGTTTGTGTTGCAGAGATGCACTTGGAAAGTAAAGGAAGAAATACACAAGATGGGGTCAATAAATACAGTGGGGAAAAAAAGTATTTAGTCAGCCACCAATTGTGCAAGTTCTCCCACTTAAAAAGATGAGAGAGGCCTGTAATTTTCATCATAGGTACACGTCAACTATGACAGACAAATTGAGGAAAAGAAATCCAGAAAATCACATTGTAGGATTTTTAATGAATTTATTTGCAAATTATGGTGGAAAATAAGTATTTAGTCAATAACAAAAGTTTCTCAATACTTTGTTATATACCCTTTGTTGGCAATGACACAGGTCAAACGTTTTCTGTAAGTCTTCACAAGGTTTTCACACACTGTTGCTGGCATTTTGGCCCATTCCTCCATGCAGATCTCCTCTAGAGCAGTGATGTTTTGGGGCTGTCGCTGGGCAACACAGACTTTCAACTCCCTCCAAAGATTTTCTATGGGGTTGAAATCTGGAGACTGGCTAGGCCACTCCAGGACCTTGAAATGCTTCTTACGAAGCCACTCCTTCGTTGCCTGGGCGGTGTGTTTGGGATCATTGTCATGCTGAAAGCCCCAGCCACGTTTCATCTTCAATGCCCTTGCTGATGGAAGGAGGTTTTCACTCAAAATCTCACGATACATGGCTCCATTCATTATTTCCTTTACACGTATCAGTCGTCCTGGTCCCTTTGCAGAAAAACAGCCCCAAAGCATGATGTTTCCACCCCCATGCTTCACAGTAGGTATGGTGTTCTTTGGATGCAACTCAGCATTCTTTGTCCTCCAAACACGACAAGTTCTATTTTGGTTTCATCTGACCATATGACATATGACATTCTCCCAATCCTCTTCTGGATCATCCAAATGCACTCTAGCAAACTTCAGACGGGCCTGGACATGTACTGGCTTAAGCAGGGGGACACGTCTGGCACTGCAGGATTTGAGTCCCTGGCGGCGTAGTGTGTTACTGATGGTAGGCTTTGTTACTTTGGTCCCAGCTCTCTGCAGGTCATTCACTAGGTCCCCCCGTGTGGTTCTGTGATCATTTTGACCCCACAGGGTGAGATCTTGCGTGGAGCCCCAGATCGAGGGAGATTATCAGTGGTCTTGTATGTCTTCCATTTCCTAATAATTGCTCCCACAGTTGATTTCTTCAAACCAAGCTGCTTACCTATTGCAGATTCAGTCTTCCCAGCCTGGTGCAGGTCTACAATTTTGTTTCTGGTGTCCTTTGACAGCTCTTTGGTCTTGGCCATAGTGGAGTTTGGAGTGTGACTGTTTGAGGTTGTGGACAGGTGTCTTTTATACTGATAACAAGTTCAAACAGGTGCCATTAATACAGGTAACGAGTGGAGGACAGAGGAGCCTCTTAAAGAAGAAGTTACAGGTCTGTGAGAGCCAGAAATCTTGCTTGTTTGTAGGTGACCAAATACTTATTTTCCACCATCATTTGCAAATAAATTCATAAAAAATCCTACAATGTGATTTTCTGGATTTTTTCCCCTCAATTTGTCTGTCATAGTTGACGTGTACCTACGATGAAAATTACAGGCCTCTCTCATCTTTTTAAGTGGGAGAACTTGCACAATTGGTGGCTGACTAAATACTTTTTTTCCCCACTGTATGTAAAGAGAGATTTTTTTTTTTTACATTGCTGTTTTATAAAACAGATAACAGTCATTTTTTTTGTAATTTAACATGTGTTTACCTGTGGAGGTGGCTGTATTCAAATTGCAGGGAGCAGGGACACCAGACGAGGCTGCTATGGTGTTGTGACCAGGGGAGACGGAGGAGGCAGTTGGTCCAGAGGAGGCCGTGTTGGTGGTGACAGACAGGGGGGGTGGTGTGCATCGTGGTGGTGGTGGACAAAACCGCCGACGATGGCTTGGAGGAGCTGGTGTTTGTAATGGTGGGGTTGAGAGGCCGACGATGGTGTGGCCGGGAGAGTAGGCACGTAGCCTTCTTCTGCAGCTGGGGACTCCGGCGTCTCCTACAGGTGTTGCACACTGGGAGGCACAGGCAGTGGTGATGCAGCTGTCAGGAGTGGTTCCAGCAGGGGGTCCAGCAGAGGCGATGGCGTCAATGGTCACATCCATGGCAGCCCTCTCCTGTGCCCTCTGTGTTCTGAGGGCTGCCCAACGCTCTTTCTCCTCTGCCTCGGCCCTCTCCTTCTCACCCCTCTCCTGTCACTGGCGCGTGTATTCCTCCCCGGTGAGGCATGTGGCGACCACAGGGAGTATCTAGCCGATACTTAAGGACAGTAAGGATGTGCCCCAGGTCCTTCGCTATCAGCCCCCCCTCTATTAGGGGGGTGCTCTTCTAGAGCTAGGGCTGGGACTGGAGCAGGGGCTTGGACTGGAGCAGGGGCTGAGGGTCCTCCTGTGGTCACTGGGGAGGAGGTGCTGATGGACGGCACAGTGCTGCTGGTTCCAGGAGAGGCGGTGGTGGGACCCGGAAGGGACCGAGATGGCATTAAACGGGACCCTTCAATGGCTGAAGGGTCAAAAGGGAAGAGGCCACACTTCTTAAACCCTTCCACCACATAGCGCATGTCCTTGCAGCGCTGGTACGGGTAGCGGAATACTCTGGCAAATTCTTTAAAGGGCCAAAGTATGCCACGTCCCACGGCTGCAGGACATGGGTGCAGTGTGGTGAAAGATAAAGAAGTATAACCCCTTCCCTTAGTGCCGCCGCGAGCACCTCTGGGTCCATGTGGCTCTTGTGCCCATCGAAGAGGAGAAAGAGAGGGCGCTCCTTCACTGCATGCTTAATGAAGTGCTAAAACCACTTCCTGAACAGGTCCCTGTCAATGTAGCCACTGTTTGACCGTCCATACAAGGCTTGGGGGGGGGGGGGCCTCCCAGTGTGTAGTGGCCACCGGGGAAACACTTGGGGTAGATGATAAATGGGGGGACATCCACCCCAGCTGCATTGAAGCAGGCCAGCACTGTGATGTGCTCCTTGGTCCCCAGACTCATCGCAGTTATAGATTTGTCTGGGTTTCTCCCTCAACCCACTCTCCTCCAAGTGCTTCTCATAAGAAGTGAAGAAGGTGTCCATCATCGGACGTGTGGCACACTCAGCTCTCCCCCTGTCCAGGGTGTCCGGCCTCCTCATGCTCAGGTTCTTGTGCCTCCTCCTGAACATTTCCCACCACCTCTTCCCCAGTGGTGGGATTGTTTCCCCTGGGTGCCGAAACCTACAATAGAAGAGAATATGTAATTGTCCATCCAGGATGAACATTTTTGTTTTGGCATCACCATACACATCCACATTTACATCACACACATTGAGAACAGTCAGTCCAGCATTCTACATACATAAACACATAGAACACCAAATACCTGCGTATTTTGTTGAAGTATTTCATCAGCCTCTGTCTGGTAAAGGGGAACCCATGGCTGGCGCAGTAGATACAGTACTGCACCAGACAATTGTCAAGCAATGTGGGTGGTCCACTGCGACAACCATGGGTCACCCGGCCGCTCAGCCTGTCCGCCAGGGTCTGCTGAGGTACACCATGCACCTTGGTAGATAAGAAAAGAAAACTGTTACTAGCAGATAAAATTCACATACACATGGTAATCTCCTAAAAACAAAAGATGCCTAACCTTGGCAGCCTGGCGGATAGCCATCCCTGCCCCGCAGTCCTCCATGGCATGGAACATGTCCACTTCACTCCACTGCTTCCTCTTGACTTTCTCCATGCTGTGGTGGTAAATACATGTAGCTAAATAACTTGGCATACTATATACATTTTAGAAAGATAACTCGATCTGAATATGTATAAACATTTACATTTCAAAGCTAAGGCATTGAAAAGTGATGAAAGTTGTTTGATGTTATCGGTCATTAAAATTAGTGTCCCAATTAGTTTAATATTGATGCATAGATTGTAACAGACTAAATACTGCCTATATGTAGCTGTTGTAAGATTAAACATAGCCAACAGTGATAGGTGTCAAAAAGATAATGGTTCAAAGTTCAAAATAAATTTTTGCAGATTGTTTAAAACGCCGCCGTCAAAGGACTCCAATTCTGAAAAGGTCAAGCTTGACAACATTCAGCTGTTTTCGTGATATGTATTATCTAATGCTTACAATTTCTTTCATTTTTGCTTACTTAGCAGTTCTATCAACATTTAGCAACTAAGCCAGCAACATTAGAAAGTCTGTTAGCTATATTTCAGAGGTAAAAAGTTGGATATTAAATTAGGTGTGGTCTGTCGCGCAGTCGAATTTTACAATATACAGCGTGTCCCACAAAATATGTATGTATATAACTTTTTTGAAAACTCTCAAAACCAAACTTAACTTACAAAAATTGCACTGAAAATCGGCTAGCTAGAAGGGTGTCTTTAGTCGCAAAACTTACCATTATTTTCCAGTCCATTTAAATGTTGAACTCGAGGTGATTTAGTCCTCCAACCGCTAGAGAGTGTCCGAAGTTAGGGGGTGTCCGATGTTGGGAGAAAATTAGCTAAGTGTATATAGGCTATGTGCAGCACTTCGTTTTAAGCATCAATTTATCGACTCAGTTATTGTTTTCTTGCTCAAACAACGAACAACACCTGTCAAACTCAGACATTTCTCTCTAAACACAGGGATGTTGATTCACACTGGACTATATTCTCAGAGGACCTTGGAGTTACAGTGAGGGAAAAAAGTATTTGATCCCCTGCTGATTTTGTACGTTTGCCCACTGACAAATAAATGATCAGTCTATAATTTTAATGGTAGGTTTATTTGAACAGTGAGAGACAGAATAACGCATGTCAAAAATGTTATAAATTGATTTGCATTTTAATGAGGGAAATAAGTATTTGACCCCCTCTCAATGAGAAAGATTTCTGGCTCCCAGGTGTCTTTTATACAGGTAACGAGCTGAGATTAGGAGCACACTCTTAAAGGGAGTGCTCCTAATCTCAGTTTGTTACCTGTATAAAAGACACCTGTCCACAGAAGCAATCAATCATTCAGATTCCAAATTCTTCACCATTGCCAAGACCAAAGAGCTCTCCAAGGATGTCAGGGACAAGATTGTAGACCTACACAAGGCTGGAATGGGCTACAAGACCTGAAGGTGACAATAGTTGGTGCGATTATTCGCAAATGGAAGAAACACAAAATAACTGTCAATCTCCCTCGGCCTGGGGCTCCATGCAAGATCTCACCTCGTGGAGTTGCAATGATCATGAGAACGGTGAGGAATCAGCCCAGAACTACACGGGAGAATCTTGTCAATGATCTCAAGGCAGCTGGGACCATAGTCACCAAGAAAACAATTGGTAACACACTACGCCGTGAAGGACTAAAATCCTGCAGTGCCCGCAAGGTCCCCCTGCTCAAGAAAGCACATATACAGGGCTGTCTGAAGTTTGCCAATGAACATCTGAATGATTCAGAGGAGAACTGGGTGAAAGTGTTGTGGTCAGATGAGACCAAAATCGAGCTCTTTGGCATCAACTCAACTCGCCGTGTTTGGAGGAGGAGGAATGCTGCCTATGACCCCAAGAACACCATCCCCACTGTCAAACATGGAGGTGGAAACATTATGCTTTGGGGGTGTTTTTCTGCTAAAGGGACAGGACAACTTTACCACATCAAAGGGACGATTAACGGGGCCATGTACCGTCAAATATTGGGTGAGAACCTCCTTCCCTTAGCCAGGGCATTGAAACTGGGTCGTGGATGGGTATTCTAGCATGACAATAACCCAAAACACACGGCCAAGGCAAAAAAGGAGTCGCTCAAGAAGAAGCACATTAAGGTCCTGGAGTGGGCTAGCCAGTCTCCAGACCTTAATCCCATAGAAAATCTGTGGAGGGAGCTGAAGGTTCGAATTGCCAAACATCAGCCTCGAAACCTTAATGACTTGGAGAAGATCTGCAAAGAGGAGTGGAACAAAATCCCTCCTGAGATGTGTGCAAACCTGGTGGCCAACTACAAGAAACGTTTGACCTCTGTGATTGCCAACAAGGGTTTTGCCACCAAGTACTGAGTCATGTTTTGCAGAGGGGTCAAATACTTATTTCCCTCATTAAAATGCAAATCAATTTATAACATTTTTGACATGCGTTTTTCTGGATTTTATTGTTGTTATTCTGTCTCTCACTGTTCAAATAAACCTACCATTAAAATGATAGACTGATCATCTCTTTGTCAGTGGGCAAACGTACAAAATCAGCAGGGGATCAAATACTTTTTTCCCCCTCACTGTAAACGAAAAACAGTGTGTTCTTCCGGCTGGAATTATTACTCTCCTGCTATGTAAAAATGACCGACATGGCAGATTCGGATAGGACACAGTCATGCACGTAATTAGGCTTAAATAACCCTATATCCCCCAGTAAAACGAATCCCTTGTGAATAGGGTTTATAGACTAGAAATTGCAAGAACAGATCGCTTTGTGTTCATACAGTGGGGTCTGAAATGATTGTATATGTTAACAGAATGTGTAATTCAGCCTATCAAACACAAAAATGATGTTTCAAGTGAGAATTAGGAAGGTGGTCTGATTTTGTTTTACAAAAAAAGTAGTGTGTAGTTCCAGTAATTAGCTACACCGCTACATGGCTAAAAAGTAATTAACAATTGAAAACACTACCTAGATTAGAATTTAGTTCAACTACCACCAAGCTACTGCAAAATGTAGCTAAATTACTAGTTGAATTAGTAGTTCACTACTAATGTTGCTCACTACTTCCCAACACTGGAATATACAGAAACAACCTTGAATGTGGGCTATTGCTGGGGTATTGCTGAAACCAGGCTAAAGCGAAAGAGCCATGCCATATCCTGTGTCTTCCCCTTGTGGCTGAGGGGTGTTAGTGCAGGTGTGTTCGATCCAGCCTGCGTAGACTCCTACAGACCCATTCACCCTAGTCTGAAAAATGTCACAATCCTCCTCCCACTGACACACAGGGTCTGGGCTAAATATAACATCACACACACACACACAGGTAAAATACCTGGGGAGAAGGACTGAGAGTTAGAGAGAGAGAGAGAGAGAGAGAGAGAGAGAGAGAGAGAGAGAGAGAGGGAGAGAGAGGGAGAGAGAGACACATGTGTCCAAACACACACACACACACACACATCAATTGGTGAACAGGGTGAGATAGACAAATACCATTGAAAATGAATAATAGCCTCTCCATCCTTCCATCAGTACGTGAATATTTCTCATTCACAAAGGTCAGCTGTCAAAACTGATTGGATTGAACTGACTCCCTAAGTGGCCAAGCCAACAATGATAAGTCATTCCTACTGCATACAGTGGGAAGAAAAAGTATATGAACCCTTTGGAATTACCTGGATTTCTGCAGAAATGTGTCATACATTTTGATCTGATCTTCATCTAAGTCACAACAATAGACAAACACAGTCTGCTTAAACTAATAACACACAAATTATTGTATTTTTCGTGTCTATATTGAATACATCATTCAAACATTCACAGTGTAGGTTGGAAAAAGTATGTGAACCCCTAGGCTAATGACTTCTCCAAAAGCTAATTGGAGTCAGGAGTCAGCTAACCTGGAGTCCAATCAATGAGACGAGATTGGAGATGTTGGTTAGAGCTGCCCTGCCCTGTAAAAAACACTCACAAAATGTGAGTTTGCTATTCACAAGATGCATTGCCTGATGTGAAACATGCCTCGAACAAAAGAGATCTCAGAAGACCTAAGATTAAGAATTGTTGACTTGCATAAAGCTGGAAAGGGTTAGAAAAGTGTCTCTAAAAGCCTTGATGTTCATCAGTCCATGGTACGACAAATTGTCTATAAATGGAGAAAGTTCAGCACTGTTGCTACTCTCCCTAGGAGTGGCCGTCCTGCAAAGATGACTGCAAGAGCACAGTGCAGAATGCTCAATGAGGTTTAGAAGAATCCTAGAGTGTCAGCTAAAGACTTACAGAAATCTCTGGATCATGCTAACATTTCTGTTGACGAGTCTACGATACGTAAAACACTAAACAAGAAAGGTGTTCATGGGAGGACACCACGGAAGAAGCCACTGCTGTCCAAAAAAACCCATTGCTGCACGTCTGAAGTTCGCAAAAGAGCACCTGGATGTTCCACAGCACGACTGGCAAAATATTCTGTGATCAGATGAATCTAAAGTTGAGTTGTTTGGAAGGAACACACAACACTATGTGTGGAGAAAAAAAGGCACAACACACCAACATCAAAACCTCATCAAAACTGTAAAGTATGGTGGAGGAAGCATCATGGTTTGGTGCTGCCTCAGGGCCTGGACAGCTTTGTATCATCGACGGAAAAATGAATTCCCAAGTTTATCAAGACATTTTGCAGGAGAATGTAAGGCTATCTGTCCGCCAATTGAAGCTCAACAGAAGTTAGGTGATGCAACAGGACAACAACCCAAAACACAGAAGTGAGTCAACAACAGAATGGCTTCAACCGAAGAAAATACACCTTCTGGAGTGGCCCAGTTAGAGTCCTGACCTCAACCCGATTGAGATGCTGTGGCATGACCTCAAGAGAGCGGTTCACACCAGACATCCCAAGAATATTGCTGAACTGAAACTGTTTTGTAAAGAGGAATGGTCCAAAATTCCTCCTGACCGTTGTGCAGGTCTGATCCGCAACTACAGAAAACGTTTGGTTGAGGTTATTGCTGTCAAAGGAGGGTCAACCAGTTATTAAATCCAAGGGTTCACATACTTTTCCCACCCTGCACTGTGAATGTTTACACAGTGTGTTCAATAAAGACATGAAAACATATAATTGTTTGTGTGTTATTAGTTTAAGCAGACTGTGTGTGTCTATTGTTGTGACTTAGATGAAGATCAGATCAACTTCTATGACCAACTTATGCAGACATCCAGGTAATTCCAATGGGTTCACATACTTTTTCTTGCCACTGTATATTGTCCAGACCAGCTCTCAGAATCAGAATCACATTTATTCGCCAAGTACATTTTACTTGGTGATATGGTGCTGCTAGTGATAGACCATTTTTAGAGACAGAATACCGACAGTGGAGTTCAAACAAAGTGTACATACAGTTGAAGTCGGAAGTTTACATTCACCTTAGCCAAATACATTTAAACTCAGTTTTTCACAATACCTGACATTTAATCCTAGTAAAAATTCCCTGTTTTAGGTCAGTTAGGATCACCACTATATTTTAAGAACATGAAATGTCAGAATAATAGTAGAGAGAATGATTTATTTCAGACCAGAGGACATTTCTCCAAAAAGTAAGATATTTTTCCTCATATGCAGTTGCAAACCGTAGTCTGGCTTTTTTATGGCGATTTTGGAGCAGTGGCTTCTTCCTTGCTGAGCAGCCTTTCAGGTTATGTCGATATAGGACTCGTTTTACTGTGGATATGGATACTTTTGTACCTGTTTCCTCCAGCATCTTCACAAGGTCCTTTGCTATTGTTCTGGGATTGATTTGCACTTTTCGCACCAAAGTACGCTCATCTCTAGGAGACAGAACGCGTCTCCTTCCTGAGCGGTATGACGGCTGCGTGGTCCCATGGTGTTTATACTTGCGTACTATTTTTTGCACAGATGAACGTGGTACCTTCAGGCATTTGGAAATTGCTCCCAAGGATGAACCAGAGTTGTGGAGATCTACAATAATTTTTCTGAGGTCTTGGCTGATTTCTTTTGATTTTCCCATGATGTCAAGCAAAGAGGCACTGAGTTTGAAAGTAGGCTTTGAAATACATCCACAGGTACACCTCCAATTGACTCAAATGATGTCAATTAGCCTATCAGAAGCTTCTAAAGCCATGACATCATTTTCTGGAATTTTCTAAGCTGTTTAAAGGCACAGTCAACTTAGTGTATTTAAACTTCTGACCCACTGGAATTGTGATACAGTGAATTCTAAGTGAAATAATCTGTCTGTAAACAATTGTTGGAAAAATTACTTGTGTCATGCACAAAGTAGATGTCCTAACCGACTTGCCAAAACTATAGTTTGTTAAAAAATTGTGGAGTGGTTGAAAAACAAGTTTTAATGACTCCAACCTAAGTGTATGTAAACTTCTGACGTCAACTGTACATTAGTTCATTCTGGGAGAAAGAAATCCACATTTTTGTTGTGATCCAAAAGTGAACAAACAAACAAAGTAAACAGCGACCAAAACCCAGGGACTGCCTCACCAGGCACCTGTTTAGGTTTGGAGGGCGGGTCTCTAATATACTGGTGTTTAGCCTTCAGTACAGATCAGACTAACTGGATGTGGGCCATCAGAGCTCTACATTCTGGATGAAAGACGGACAGAGTGAGGGATAGACAGTGAGGAATGGGTCCTCAGATCCTCAAAAAATTCTACAGCTGCACCATCGAGAGCATCCTGACTGGTTGCATCACCGCCTGGTATGGCAACTGCTTGGCCTCCGACCGCAAGGCACTACAGAGGGTAGTGCGTACGGCCCAGTACATCACTGGGGCAAAGCTTCCTGCCATCCAGGACCTCTATACCAGGCGGTGTCAGAGGAAGGCCCTCAAAATTGTCAAAGACTCCAGCCACCCTAGTCATAGACTGTTCTCTCTGCTACCGCACGGCAAGCGGTACCGGAGTGCCAAGTCTAGGTCCAAAAGACTTCTCAACAGCTTCTACCCCCAAGCCATAAGACTCCTGAACAGCTAATCATGGCTACCCGGACTATTTGCACTGCCCCCCCCACCCCATCCTTTTTACGCTGCTGCTACTCTGTTAAGTATTTATGCATAGTCACTTTAACTCTACCCACATGTACATATTACCTCAACTACCTCAACTAGCCGGTGCCCCCGCACATTGACTCTGCAACGGTACCCCCCTGTATATATAGCCTCCCTACTGTCACTTTATTTTACTTCTGCTCTTTTTTTTCTCAACACTTTTTTTTGTTGTTGTTTTATTTTAACTTTTTTTGTTTAAAATAAATGCACTGTTGGTTAAGGGCTGTAAGTAAGCATTTCACTGTAATGTCTGCACCTGTTGTATTCGGCGCATGTGACCAATACAATTTGATTTGATTTGATTTGATTTGACAGAGGGATTCAGTGAGCGAGAGGGAGAAAGTGTGTGTGAGAGAGAGAGAGAGAGAGAGAGAAATTAAACATTCAAATTAGAGTAAGTGACTATAACACTCTAACAACATATTTCTGAGACTGCATCAAGGTTATTATAGTAAACTAAAACTTCAACAAAAACGAATCATGAAAAAACAATTTAGTAAACTGAAATAAAACAATTAACAAACCCGTTTGAAAAACTAAAACTATACTGAAATTATTATCTTTGACTTCAAAACTAACTAAAATAAAAAATAAAAACCACCATGAATTATGTTCAGTTTTAGTTTTTTTCTAAACTTTGGGCAAAAATTTAATCTGGTTTTCAATGGGGGTTTCAATGGGGTTTTAAGCTTTTGGGAGTTTTCAAGCTATTGAATCTGGCGAGTTAATATGTGGATGGTGTTGTTTCAAATAAGACTACCTTGTGCATCGCAATCACTAGCTAACAGAGGATAAAATCTAGGTAGCTAACTTGATTCTTCTTACATGTACTACTAAAGTTAAAAAGCATTGGATTGGTGTAATGTAGTCCCCCTGTAGCTCAGTTGGTAGAACATGGCGCTTGCAATGCCAGGGTTGTGGGTTCATTTCTCAAGGGGGGCCAGTATGAAAATGTATGCACTCACTAACTGTAAGTTGCTCTGGATAAGAGCGTCTGCTAAATGACTAAAATGTAAACATGGGCGAGAGAGTTTCTTTCGACAACATTTTTTGCACCTGTCTCGGCTCTATTCCTTTTAAATCTAAGTCACATTTAGATTAACTTTTGGCCATGAGGCTCTTTATCTACTTCCCCAGAGTCAGATGAACTTGTCAATACCATTTTTATGCATCTATGTGCAGTTTGAAGGAAGCTGCTAACTAGCATTCGCACAATTGCTTTGTGCTAATGCTAGTTAGCATTGGCTTGCAAAACTAGCTTTAAATTCGTTCATACTGGACGTAGATACATAAAAATGGTATCCACAAGTTCATCTGAAGTTCAAAATTCCAAACTATATATAAAATATAATATAAAAACTAAATAGTAGCATTTTTATACAACTACTACTAAATAAGAACTAGCAAATCAGGTCTGAAAACTAAACGGAATTTTAAAAAAACGTATATAAAACACAAAGCTATAATAACCTTCATACCAATCAGTCAGTATTACTTCTCACACAATCCTCACTATTAGAGTCAAACCCAAACATTAGCATGGAATTTATAAATGGGTTTAAATAGGTTGAAACTTAATCGACTACAGTAACACGAAAGAGGGCCCAAGCCAACATACACGATCTCCCAGTTTTAGGCCTGATACTCTATGTCATACTGTAGCTGGGTCTTAATGGAGCACAGCAGAGGCTGCTGAGGGGTGGACAGCTCATAATAATGGCTGGAATGGAATTGCATCAAACACATGGAAACCATGTGTTTGATACCATTCTTCCTATTCCGCTCCAGCCATTACCACGAGCACATCCTCCCCAATGAAGGTGCCACCAACCTCCTGTGATGGAGCACCCTCATAGGAAGATGTGTGAGGGTTCGCAGTAGAAGGTCATCTACTCCATACTGGCCCCCCCGTGGGAATCGAACCCACAACCCTGGCGTTGCAAGCGCCATGCTCTACCAACTGAGCTACAGGAGGCCTAGCTAACATCAAAGGGCTAGATAACAGTTGGCCCAGCCAAGACTTGCTCCTGCCTCCCTATATTGAGTAAAATTGCTATTTGTCACTTTCTGATGTTGCTCCCTTTGCTGTTTGAAAGCCAAGGTCAAGTGTAGTCAGTCAGCAGTGTTGTTGTAAGATTGAGCATGTTTAAAAAGAACATCCTGCAATATAAATTCCTTTTACATTTTCTATTGTTTAAAAACGATGGCACATTGGTTGAGTGACTGGTGGTGGTTCATAACCACAAAATGCATGTTGGTTGCATTACACTTTAGTGTCCAGCAGGTGGAGGCAGAGCAATGCAAAGGTCTACCAGGGTATGAATCCACTTTCATAGTACCAGTCATAGGCCTATGGATTTTATTGCCATGTCTGAATGTTTGATTGTTTGCATTGTGCATTTGATTCACTTGATTAAATGATTGACTTTGTGATCAATTGATCAACTAACTGATTGTCTAACAGACTTCTCCTCTGGTGTCTTCCCTAGGCCATGGCCGTGCCTCCCTTCTCCGCCCCCCTCCCTCTCCTCGTGGCTCTGCTTCAGTTTACAGTACTACCTCTTGTCCACGCGGGGGCGTACTACAGACACAAGCAGCACCCTCAGCAGCACCAGGCCATGCCACACCTGTCCCACATGGGCATAGGGGGTAAGGAGCAGCAACCTCAGCAGCATTGGCCGGGAAAAGAGATACCCCACATGCAGTACCCCCAGTACAGAAAAGAGATCCCCCAGATGTCCATGCACATGGGCAAGGCGAACCCCCACAAAGGTGGAGTAGTCAACGGTGGACAGGACAAAGGTGAGACCGAAGCGCTCAAATTACATGTGGCTCTGGTCAAAAGTAGGCCAGTAGTATGTTGCTTATATTAAGATCATGTCAATCTTCAATGTTCATTACCTAACCCAACTCTAGTTAGGACACACACACACACACTGCCATCTTGGAATGTTTAGACTGAATGGACATTTCATCCCCCACAGGTCAGACCATCCCCAGTGGGGCAGTGGGAGGTCTCCCCGGAGGTCTGCCAGGAGAGCAGGGCCCAGCTGGGCCTCCCGGACCTGAGGGTCCCTTTGGGCCTCCAGGACCTCCCGGGGAAGGACAGCCAGGAAGTGAAGGAAAACCAGGCCCCGCTGGTCCCCCAGGATTCCCTGCAGTAGGAAAACCAGGACTCACAGGAATACCAGGCAAGCCAGGCGGCATGGGAGAGCCAGGACTACCTGGAGAGCTGGGCCCCAGCGGCGGAGAGGGTCCGATGGGGCAGCCAGGGCCTCAGGGGTCCCCTGGTCCTCCAGGTCTTCCAGGGATAGGAAAACCAGGGGTTGGGGGGTTTCCAGGACAACCAGGACCCAGAGGAGACCCAGGACACAAGGGCCTGCCAGGACTACCAGGATTACCAGGACCCAAGGGTGACAAGGGGATCGGACAGCCAGGACAGCCAGGCCACAAAGGACTAGCAGGACCTCCTGGACCTCCAGGCCAGGGAGGGATGCCTGGTGTGGGCAAGCCTGGAATGAATGGCATGTCAGGGCCACCAGGAGGACCAGGGAAACCAGGCCCCCCTGGAGAGCAGGGGCTGGCTGGACCAGCAGGAGAGGGCGGAGAGCCCGGTCCACCAGGGCTGCCCGGCCAGGGTAAACCTGGCCAGAACGGTCTGCCGGGACAACCAGGGATGCCCGGTGGAAAAGGGCATCCAGGCCCTCCAGGTTTGCCGGGGAAACCTGGATTGCCAGGATTCGGAAAACCAGGATTCCCAGGACCAAAGGGAGATAAGGGGATGGGTGGGATGCCCGGAGGCCCAGGACCAAAGGGAGACAAAGGCCATGGAGGACTGCCTGGTATGCTAGGACAGCCTGGACCAATTGGACCAGCTGGTCCTCCTGGTCCTATGGGACCCCCTGGAGGTCTGGGCCAACCAGGGCCAAAAGGCGAGGCTGGAGAGGGAGGGCATAAGGGGTTGTCTGGTGGGCAAGGGAAGCCTGGTCCTCCTGGACTGCCTGGTCAGAATGGCTTCCCTGGAGATGGAGGAGAGCCAGGGCCAAGGGGTCCCCCCGGGCCTGTAGGACCCCAAGGGGAAGGCGGACACAAAGGGTTACCAGGCGGCCCTGGCATTCCAGGCCTACCTGGGCCAAAGGGAGAGGGAGGACTTCCAGGTGAGAAGGGTCCCCAAGGTCCAAAAGGCATTCCAGGTCTGGGAGGTGCAGGTGGGCCAATCGGACCTCCTGGTGCCCCTGGAACTAAAGGTGACAGTGGACCACCTGGTCTTCTCGGCGTTGATGGTAAGGGAAACCCAGGTGTCCCTGGTCCTCTTGGACCTCCAGGTAAAGAAGGTCCTGAAGGACCACCGGGAAACCCAGGCCAGCCAGGTCCACCTGGTCCCCCAGGCCCTCCCGGACCCACCGATATGGGAGCAGTCCTCCCTGAGATGGGTATTCCTCCTGGGCTGGACGGAGTCAAGACCGCCGGCTATGGCAAGAAGGGCAAATATGGAGGAAACGGCGAAGAGGTGATGGGCCCCAACGGCCTGGAGATGCCCGCGTTCACGGCTCTGGTGACCACGCCCTTCCCACCTGTGGGCACGCCTGTGGTGTTCGACAAGATCCTGTACAACGGCCGTCAGAACTATAACCCCCAGACAGGCGTGTTCACCTGTGACATGCCCGGGATCTACTACTTTGCCTACCACATCAGCTGCAAAGGGGCCAACGTGTGGGTGGCGCTGATGAGGAACGATGAGCCTGTGATGTACACGTATGACGAGTATAAGAAGGGCTTCCTGGATCAGGCGTCGGGGAGCGCAGTGTTACCTCTACAGCCCGGGGACACTGTGTACCTCCAGCTACCCTCAGACCAGGCCGCAGGACTATACGCTGGCCAATACGTCCACTCCTCCTTCTCTGGATACTTGTTGTACCCCATGTAAGAACACCAAACTTTAGAGAGGAAGAGACGGTCAAAAAGAGAGAGAATGTTGGAGAAATGTAAACATTGATTATAGAATTCTTTAAATTGATATGTTGTTTTAAAAACATCAACTATCTATTGAGATTGACGCTGTTGAGATCGACAGTGATGGGTTGGACAATTCGGACCATCCCCGGGAAATTCTGAGAGAGGAGTGTTTGTGAGGGTACATATATACCGTTTTTAATAGCAATTTATGTTGGAGAACAAAGATTTCTGTATCTATCTACTGCTCTGAGGACTTGTCACAACAACACCGCATTAAAAGATGCCATTACAGCAACTGGGTTCATTTATTGTGAATTGTGGTCATATGTATTGGTTTGATTTAAAGTACAGCACAGACTGATGTGGAGACTGTAGAAGAAAGAGTGGGACATCTGAGGTATATATTTTGTATTGTGTTTTCCCAAGCTCCTACATGTTCCTTTGCAAACTGGCAGCTGCCATAAACGAAACTGTGGCAAAGAATGTAAATTGGATAACTTTAAAAAAATAAATAAAAAAAAATAAATTGAATACCTATATTGGCACCTGAACTTTTGTATTAGGGTACTTATAAAATGGCAATTGAAAACCAATAGAGAGAGTTCAAGATTCAAATAAAGTGGTGCTATCATTTATGTCACATTTTAGTTTGTTACATAACTTTGTTGTTTTGTTTTTGTTTAATTTGTTTGATTATTTCTTGTTGTTGTTACTTTTGCAGACAAGCATCATCTGTGATGTTTATAGGGGTGATTTTGTTGCATGAAATGGATGGCAATATAATGCATTATGGGTGTATTGGTTCAAAGCGATGCCTCTTCTGGCACGTAACGAGTAATGCTCCAACAGACACTGATTTGCCCACAAATATGAAAACCACTGCTCTCATTACAAACCCCTTTCTTGCTGTATGTGTCTGTTGTCAGCTGAATAAAGCAGTAGCGCTAAACTTATAGAGGTATGACCTAGACACTCATTTAGATGGCCTATACGGTTATGTAAGTAGGGTATCAACTGATAATCAATTGTGATTCTTTTGAATAACTTTTGAATCAGATGATTGAATGAATGACTTGGGGGTGAAATGTGTGTGTGCCTGGTCCCTCTGGGCTCAGCAGTACAGAATTTAAGTAATTGGGTTAAAGGTACTCTATGTGGAGGTGAAGATTGAAGATTAATAAATACTTTGATGTCAGTCAGCGAGAATAATGCCCAAACCAAACCAGGAGGAGGTGGTTGTGGTTACAAGTTAGTGAGGAGACTTATGAAATAAGGTTTCCTTGTGGAGCACAAAGAATATAGACAAAGAATAGAATGTCAAAAGAGAGAGGGTGAAAATGTCTTCCTGCATGCCCCCTCCCTCACCTTTCACCCACCCATATGTCCCTATACCTCACCCCTCTACTCTGCCCTTCCTTTCTACCCCTCCCCTACCCTTCTACCCCTCCCTTGACTCCAGGTATAAATTCTGTTTTCTTTCTTTATTTCAGACCATGGTGCAAAACATTCAGTATAACCAAACAAAACCCTGAGTTTTTATGTTTTTATTGTTATACTGTAGATGTTGTTTTTTAAATAAAGATGATTTAACTAAAAGGTAATGTGTTATTCTTCTTTCAACATATATCAAGACAGGTATTATTTTATTGTGTGACACTGATAAGTGCACATCAGATTAGTCCAGTTCACCAGTCCAAATTCAATAAAGTAATTTTCCTTGCCCCGGATGTCAAGTAAATATGCTCTGGCTCTGTCTTGATCATATTGCAGTTGACTGATATGCCATATTGAGAAGAGCTGAGAATACCGTGCTGCCAAAGACAGACAGATACTCTAACTTGACTCTGACCATGATTATTAAATGGCCTCATATGCTCAAGACATGGATGAATAAAGTAAATAGGATTCATCCTATAGTTTCTTGTATCACACATTTTTAGGCACTTCTATAGGGTACCACTTGAGGGTGTGGCAAAACAGAATGATGATGTAATTTTAATCAAATGCATTCTTGTATTTCTTCGTTTTAAGAGGTGCTTTCAAAACACAAAATGAAATGTTTTTAGTGTCTTACCAACAATTATGTTTCTGTGATGGCAAATGAAGCAGCCAAAATAATCAATGGACCAGTCTCGAGAAGTCTCACCAAGGATGCTGCGAGAAAAAGGGATGCTGCGACTGATGTGATGCGCGTGCGCAGAGCGCACAACGCGTGTGTCTTGTCCTCTATTCACCCACCTTCTATTCATCTCGGCATTTAGGCATATTTAGATACTGTAGTAGCTAGCTAGCTAAGTTCATTCAGCGTCTCAGTAACAAACGGTAAGAATCCTCAATTAATTGTTATTTTTAAACTACTGTACCGTAAATTACTGCTTTCAAGACAATTTTCAATAGGCTAGCCAGTTAGCAAGCGACTGCTAACGTACGTTAGCATTACAATTTATTAGCAGGTGAAATATGGATGAAACATGGATGAACCAATAAATAGCTGAAATGTTTGCATACAAATACATTGTATGCAGCTATAGTGTGATCTCGGTAACCTCCTTTCCAAGAGGACAATGAATGAATCTGCTGAATTTAGCTAGCTAACGTTACCAACTGCTTGTGAAAGCTAGGCTAGTTAAATAGCTAGCAAAGCCGTCCCTGCTGCCAGAAGCAGAGAAATATGTAGCTAGCTACTATTTATATCTATTGATGTTATATTTAAGCAATAAGGCCCGAGGAGGTGTGGTATATGGCCAATATACCACGGCAAATGGCTGTTCTTAAGCGCGAGTGCCTGGACACATCCCTTGGCCGTATACCACAAACCCCCTAGGTGCCTTATTGCTATTATAAACTGGTTACCAACGTAATTAGAGCAACAAAAATAAATGTTTTGTCATACCCATGGTATATGGTCTGATATACCACGGCTGTCAGACAATCAGTATTCAGGGCTCGAATGACCCAGTTTATAATAAGGTTGATAAAACAACTTAAATAATAGAGGAGCTTCTAATATTCAATTGTTTAAGTGTAGAAATAGAAGCCTGATCATTACATCAGTGTGTCTGTCTGCATGTATCAACTCTTTGTCATTGTGATTTGTCATGGATGAAATGCATGTAAAGAACACATATGCTCATTATTAACGAATCAGTTGTGGGCAAAATAAATTAGAAAATTGACACCAAGTCAAATAATACTAATTATTGTTGCGTGGTTTTCGGGTAAGCATGTCCTGAGTGGCGCAGTGGTCTAAGGCACTGCATCGCAGTGCTAACTGTGCCACTAGAGATCCTGGTTCGAATCCAGGCTCTGTCGCAGCCGGCCGCGACCGGGAGACTCATGGGCGGCGCACAATTGGCCCAGCGTCGTCCAGGGTAGGGGAGGGAATGGCCGGCAGGGATGTAGCTCAGTTGATAGAGCATGGCGTTTGCAATGCCAGGGTTGTGGGTTTGATTAACTGTAAGTCGCTCTGGATAAGAGCGTCTGCTAAATGACTAAAATGTAAATGTAAATGTAAGCAGGTTGTTACCATGACGTCTCGTGTGGGCCCTCGAGCTGCAGGTACTGATGGGAGTGACTTCAAACACAGAGAGAAGGTGGCCTCGCACTACCAGATGAGGTAATCAATCATGCCTGTCTGCTGGCTGGCTGTCTGTATGCCTGTGTCTGTCTATCTGTCTGTACGCTTGTCTGTCTGCGCTTGTCTGCGCTTCTCTGTCTGTACTTGCCTGTCTGTCTGTCTGAGTGTGCCTGCCTGCTTGTCTATTACCATATTGTTTGTTTATAGCTATCCAATCCTCTCAGGTCATTAACCATACTGTCTCAACTCCCTCTCCCCCTTTTCCTTGTGTCTCCAGCGCCTCACTAAAGTCTGAGATCCGGAAACTCAACTTCGTCCACCTGCTGCTCTGGCTCCTGGTGGCGGCCCAGGTGATCGTCAGCAAACTCGACCTGGTGCCAAGCGACACAGTGTCCGAGCCCTACAGATGGGAATACCCCTACCTGATCAGTCTCTTTCCACTGGTCACCGGCAGCCTGTCGCTGCCCAAGAACAACATAAGCTACCTGGTGATCTCCATGATCAGCTCAGGCCTGTTCTCCATCGCTCCACTCTTCTATGGCTCCATGGAGATGCTCGGCGAGGCCCAGCAGCTGTACCGCCACGGCAAGGCTTACCGCTTCATCTTCGGCTGGGCGGCGGTCACCGTCATGTACCTGGTGATGGTGGTGGCGGTGCAGGTGCACGCCTGGCAGATCTACTACAGCAAGAAGCTGCTGGACGCCTGGTTCGACTCCACACAGGAGAAGAAGAAGAAGTGATGAGGATGTATTGTGGGTTTTGAGGCTGGGGGAAAGTGTTTTTGTTTTTCTCTCTGTCTTTAGGATGCATATATTAGTATATTCAGTTATTTATTTATTACCTCATGTAATCACTGTCTATTATAGCTTTCCAGATTGTCTATCCAACACACATTTTCTTGCCAAAACACGCATACTTTCCCATTTCAAAGACACTCAGGCCTGTACATTTTCTCTCACATACACACATAATTATATTACACACATATAGCGGACATTATTCGGGCGCGTAGTCTCGTGTTGAAGGAATATCCTCTTGGTCTAATGGTCAAGATGTTGGTTTCTCCCGTGGGAGACCAGGGTTCAGATCCTGGCTGTGACGCACACACAGCCTCGTTCCACTACTCTGGATCCATGCTGTTTTTCCTTTCCATCTCATCTATCTTCTCATGGCGAATCATGAACATTGTGGGGTGTTACTACCTTGCGTTGTTGCCATATCAACTAGCCTCTTTATCTCAGGTCCTAGATCTTACTGGATCTAGCCTGAGCTTTGCCAGCCAGTTAGCATTAGCAACTCTACTTTGTTTATCTGGCCTCAGAGAATAAACGATAGAGACTGCAGCTCCTTCTGAGACCGCAATGTTTACTGCTGTTGTGAAGCATTTAGACGTGTGTATGAACCAAGCCCTTGTGTGTGAGACTGGAGCATGACGGAGGATCGCTCTACTAACTCTTTGTCTTAACAGAGGAGGAATGAGGGCTGGACAGGTTTGTTGCCACGGTTTCAGTAAATTGACATCCGGTGACAAGTGTGTCAAATATTGAAAGCCCTGTAAGGCATGCGCACAAGCACTGTCCAAAGCTTGAGACTGAGAGACATGGGATGGTGTGCTTCAATGGCAAAAAAATTGATGCATCATTGCGCTAAATTGGCCTGACAGGTTACACTGTGTCTTGACAGCTATCAAGGGTTCTTGATTTGCCCCTGTAATGTGGCCAAACTAGTGCTCATCGGGGTTGTGGTCAATAACATTTCAATTCCAGTGAATTCAGAAAGTAAACCAAATATCAATTCCAAATTATCATTGATAAGCATTGAAGAGAATTTGAATTTCAGTGTACTTCCTGAATTGACCCCAACCCTGGTGCTCATCATTCATATACTTCTTAAATGTCCTATATGCTTGACCCATTGCCCCCTAACTTTATATGATTATGTTTTTACCACCAATAAAAAGGGAAATTAAATCATTGTTGTCTTGATTGTGTCCTTAGTTGTCTTGATTGTTACAGACCTTGTGATGTGCTTGATGAGTAGTTTCATTACAGTCACGCCACATAATCACTTATGTGTCACAGTAACCTTTAAAATTAAGCAAAACACGTCCTGCAAAAGACAGTATAGAGGAAACCACGTAACACAGTCACATCTTTCATTTAAAACTCAATTTCTCAACCTGCCCCTATGCAGAAATAATATCACAGTCAAATAGTTGTCACTACGACTGCGCGTTCTGCAGTATGACACGTGCAGGTTTACGTCGACAAGCGGGCAGACTTCCTGATGTGAGGCTGAGATTCTGTGTTTGCCAGCCCTGGTTAAACATTTTGGCTGACAAGGTCTTGCGAGAAACACCGACACGACAGCGGGATTAAGTCGTCCAGTTACAGGTGGGATACATATACCTGTCTGTTTCGATATTCCTAATGTTGATGACGTTGACAACCTGAATCAGATTCTCAATGCTACCTAACGATTGATGCTAGCATTGAGTTTGTTGTGTTTTTAAAGCCACATTTGTTTAATTTTCAGAAAGATCTCTCTTAAATTGCATACATGATGGTATTGGTGCAATGATCTTGGGTTTTGTGTTAAATTAAGTCGATGAACATTCATTCTCTGATGCCGGTTAGAACGCTAAACTGTGAGAAGTATTTTGCAGGAAGTTAACATTCTTAACCATGAATGGGAGTTTTGAGTTGGTCTGTATTTGGCATGGCTCTACATCCTGTCAAGTACAGGAAAATGGGCTGTGTTTATGATCCAACTTGGCTTTCTTACTAGCTAGTTAGCGAGTTACATTCGTTTTGACAACTCTAGCAACGATATAATTATCTAGTTAGGTTAGCTAACAATATAGCCAGTGCAACGGATTTTGAGCCAGGTAGTTAGTTATTGGCATAACCGCAAACTAACGAGCTGTCAAATTACCACGCTAGGTAGGTACGTTAGCTAGCTATCGTGACATGTCATGAATCACTGCCAAGAAGATAACAAGCTGCAATCCTGAACCTCGCCCTTTCATTAGTCAGCAAGTTAGTTAACCTGTTAAGGATCGGACCCTTTTTTTCAATTTACGCCTAAAATGACACACACAAATCTAACTGCCTGTAGCTCAGGACATGAAGCAAGGATATGCATATTCTTGATACCATTTGAAAGGAAACACTTTGAAGTTTGTGGAAATGTGAAATTAATGTAGGAGAATATAACACATTAGATCTGGTAAAAGATAATACAAACAAAAAACATGCGTTTTCTATTTATTTTTTTGTTCCATCATCTTTTAAATAAAAGAGAGAGGCCACAATATAATATTGCAGTTTAGCCGCAATTTAGATTATGGCCACTAGATGGCAGCAGTGTGTGTGCAAAGTTTCAGATTGATCCAGTGAAGCGTTGCAATACTGGACTATTTTGTATCAAGTCTGCCCAAATGTGCCGAATTGGTCAATTTGATACATTTTCAAGTACATAACTATAGAGAACATACAAAAATGACATGGTAATACAAAATGTAAGTTTACACACTCCCAGGAATGTCATACATGATGGATCGTTAGCTTATACACTAACTTTCACACATCTAAAATCAAATCAAATCAAATTTTATTGGTCACATGCGCCGAATACAACAGGTGCAGACATTACAGTGAAATGCTTACTTACAGCCCTTAACCAACAGTGCATTTATTTTTAACAAAAAAAGTTAAAATAACAACAAAAAAAGTGTTGAGAAAAAAAAGAGCAGAAGTAAAATAAAATAACAGTAGGGAGGCTATATATACAGGGGGGTACCGGTGCAGAGTCAATGTGCGGGGGCACCGGCTAGTTGAGGTAGTTGAAGTAATATGTACATGTGGGTAGAGTTAAATGCATAAATAATTAACAGAGTAGCAGCAGCGTAAAAAGGATGGGGTGGGGGGGCAGTGCAAATAGCCCAGGTAGCCATGATTAGCTGTTCAGGAGTCTTATGGCTTGGGGGTAGAAGCTGTTGAGAAGTCTTTTGGACCTAGACTTGGCACTCCGGTACCGCTTGCCGTGCGGTAGCAGAGAGAACAGTCTATGACTAGGGTGGCTGGAGTCTTTGACAATTTTGAGGGCCTTCCTCTGACACCGCCTGGTATAGAGGTCCTGGATGGCAGGAAGCTTGTCCCCAGTGATGTACTGGGCCGTACGCACTACCCTCTGTAGTGCCTTGCGGTCGGAGGCCAAGCAGTTGCCATACCAGGCGGTGATGCAACCAGTCAGGATGCTCTCGATGGTGCAGCTGTAGAATTTTTTGAGGATCTGAGGACCCATGCCAAATCTTTTCAGTTTCCTGAGGGGGAATAGGCTTTGTCGTGCCCTCTTCACGACTGTCTTGGTGTGTTTGGACCATGATAGTTCGTTGGTGATGTGGACACCAAGGAACTTGAAGCTCTCAACCTGTTCCACTACAGCCCCGTCGATGAGAATGGGGGCGTGCTCAGTCCTCTTTTTTTCCTGTAGTCCACAATCATCTCCTTTGTCTTGGTCACGTTGAGGGAGAGGTTGTTGTCCTGGCACCACACGGCCAGGTCTCTGACCTCCTCCCTATAGGCTGTCTCATCGTTTTCGGTGATCAGGCCTACCACTGTTGTGTCGTCGGCAAACTTAATGATGGTGTTGGAGTCGTGCCTGGCCATGCAGTCATGGGTGAACAGAGAGTACAGGAGGGGACTGAGCACGCACCCCTGAGGGGCCCCCGTGTTGAGGATCAGTGTGGCAGATGTGTTGTTACCTACCCTTACCACCTGGGGGCGGCCCGTCAGGAAGTCCAGGATCCAGTTGCAGAGGGAGGTGTTTAGTCCCAGGATCCTTAGCTTAGTGGTGAGCTTAGAGGGCACTATGGTGTTGAAGGCCGGGCGGGGTGGGTGTGGAGCCAGAGACCACAGGGGTTCAAACTGTAGGACCCAGTTTCCACATTTGAATATAAAAATTGATTTTATCAAACAATTATGCTATGCTATTTGCTGGTAGCTAATTTAGCTAGCTTGTTTGCTAGCCAAAGGCAAGACCAACAAGTCCAATAAAAAATCAAATGAAGTAGTTGCATTTGAAGTGATTTAATCTATATATTGTAACTATTTGCTGATAAATAGGCCTATCTGGGTGTGGACTGGATAGGGAAGAGATTGTTCAACTAATCAGTTCAGCTGGTGCTTATTTTATTCTGATGATATTAACCAGTAGTGTGTCATGAATCATGATCCACTCAACACATTCTACTAACTAATTATTTCAATGAAAGTTACAGTACTTGGCCTATGTAGGCCAAAGTCTCATTGGGGAGATACAGTTGAAGTCGGAAGTTTACATACACCTTTGCCAAATACATTTAAACTTCGTTTTTCACAATTCCTGACATTTAATCCTAGTAAAAATTCCCTGTCTTAGGTCAGTTAGAATCACCACTTTATTTTAAGAATGTGAAATGTCAGAATAATAGTAGAGAGAATTATTTATTTCAGCTTTTATTTCTTTCATCACATTCCTAGTGGGTCAGAAGTTTACATACACTCAATTAGTATTTGGTAGCATTGCCTTTAAATTGTTTAACTTGGGTCAACAGCCTTCCACAATCTTCCCACAATAAGTTGGGTGAATTTTGGCCCATTCCTCCTGACAGAGCTGGTGTAACTGAGTCAGGTTTGTAGGCCTCCTTGCTCGCACATGCTTTTTCAGTTCTGCCCACAAATTCTCTATAGGTTTGAGG